GAAAAAAGAAACATTAAATAAAACCTCAATTTTGTTAAGCTTTATGACAGTTTGCTAGAGAGACTACAACATGTTACAGATAATTCAGCTATGGACTGTCAGCACTGCTATACAGCTGTACGTGCTTCTTGCCTCAGCTAGTGAACTAGCTTTTGCTCCCAGGCTTTTGTTTGGGACTCGCCTCCCGTGGTCCTCTCCCGTGGCTTCACTTGTCGAGAATCTTAATTAATCTCTCATCAACAAACAAAGCGCTCAGATCACTGCATCTTCCCGTAAACTGTGACTGAAAATGACCCAGTTAGTTCATCTTGTAATGAGTCGGTACGCATTTCATGAATTGTGTCAAAACAAATTCTATTTTTTAATTTAGATTTATTGCTCAGCGTAATTCAGATACATTAAAATGCTCTGCCTTAACTTGCGTGTTAATTGCCGGTGATGAAACCAGTGATGACACCTTGCGTTTGTTTGTGTACACAATGTCTCGACTCATTTAAACCATGTGTAAATAGATTTTGACCACTCGTTCGCCAGTGTATTAATGCACACAGCAGACACATGCATAGCCACTTTAATACAGTCTGTTGTTTTTATCTTTAATCCGTTATAGTAACTTTGTTTGTTTATTTGTTTTGACCTCAATTAAAAGCCTAATCAGGAATGGGAGCTGAATTTCATCTCCAGCCAGACGTCCTGTATAAATTACATGAGATGCATTGTTTCTCCTGTAACTATATTTATCTGTATTGTCCCAGTTAAATAAACTAACAAACAAATAAACAGTTGGGGGGGAGGAACATGAATGTTTCCTGGGCTCACAACAGTGGCAGAAACAAATATGAAGACTTGCAGGAAGAGAAACAAATGACTTCGCATGACAGGTGTCACGTCTGGCTTTAGCAATAGAGAGACATCTGCATTGATCAGACTGTAATTCTCTTCTACAGTAAGTCTTACCTAACACAGGCTGTTTGAATCAATGTCACTGTCTCCTACAAGACGCCGCAAAAACACAGACTCAAGCCGTGCCGTGCTGCCGTTTCTGTCAAATTGGAAATTAAAATGAGCAAGGCTACTTAGGAAGTGCACTTGGTTTAAAAACAAAACCTCTGTATTCAAAATGGGGATTGCAATGCGAGTTGAAAGTGACCTTGTCAACACATCTGTCTTGTTAGTTATGATCACTGGCTAATTCTTTGACTTCAGGATATTCCTCTTTGCCTGACAACCGCTTACATCTGCTGTGACAAAAACCTGCCCGCGCTCTCAAGATATTTAAGGAAATGATCTGGGCTGTGATTTAAAGTCGCTCAGATCGAGAGAAAAAAAGAAACCACTGAAGCGTGATTAAGTTATTCTGTGGTATTGTGGGTTCTCATTATTCTTTCAGCACAACTGGGTGTCCAGGAGAGCCGACCAGGGCCCGAAAACCATCGAGCAGATCCACAAGGAGGCGAAGATTGAAGAGCAGGAGGAGCAGAGAAAAGTGCACCAGCAACTGCTCTCAAAGGACAGCAAGAGACGGCCAGGTCAGGCCCGCAGTCTAAATCCTCTTTAAGGCTTAGAGTCACATCGGTACAGCTACAGTGACTCAGGAAGCCTGCAAGCATACAGGCAGACTTCCTGTCCCTATAGCCCGCAGAGACGCTATTGTGCCCCACAGCAGACAGGAAGCCCCATACTCTCTCCCATCTGTTAGCTGACCTATAATATTTCCTCATGTATGGCAGAAACAAGTCAAAAATGTCACCCTGTCAGCCCGTTTGACTTCACTGAACGAAAACGCCTTTTCCACTGAACTCATTTTTATCTCTGTGGCCTCGTAGATTCGAGAGATTCGAGAGATCAGAGAGATCAAAGAGATCAGAGAGATCAGCGCGGGCAGAGAGAAGAGACCTGGAACACTGTGCCCATGACAAAGAACAGCAGGACCATCGACCCCACCAAGATCCCAAAGATCTCCAAGGTGAGACACGCTGCGTCTTTACACTCAGTCTTCCCTTTCAACTGAGGGAGCTGTCACTCCTCGAGGCTGGTTCAGCTGGTCCTGACTTTTAGTTCTTTACACACACGTCTTTTATCTCAATTGTCATATCGATTTGATGTATCGGGGATAATCTCCACACCCTGATGCATGTACGTGTTTCCATGGTTCATATGTAAATTGCATTCTTCACTTACACACATCAATAAACAATCAACAGGTGGATTAAATGTAATAAATGTACACTAAACTCATATCTCTACCATCATAAAACCCTGTGGTTGCACCAGTTTTGCTTTTACACCTCTTGAAAGTGGACCGAGACGCTTGTTTTCACACTTGTTTTCTCGGTTGTTTAATCTTCACTTCCAGCCTAACCAAACCAAAAAGGTTTAGGTGTGAAAGTGTCCTAAGAGTTGAGTTAAATAAAGCATGAAATTCACAGGATTCAGTGTTGTTGTGACACCAGGAAAGACTACTGATTAGAAACCGCTCAAGGATCCATACGTGACCCGAGGACATCCTCAGAGGCCTTGTTGCAGTCTGATCGTCTGCGATGAACCTGAATGTTGCCAGTTCTGCATTGTAATTTAGTTAACTTGAGGTTGTTCATGTTGCAACAAGTTTGTCTCACGTTCACAAAGTGTTTGTGCTCGTCAGCCCGAAGCTCCTGCGCTGTGGTTGCTGTTCTTTGGGTAGAAAGTTTCTGTACACAGCAGATTAATGTTTACACATCACCAGGAGGAATTTTGTGGCTCATCTTGTGTACACATACACTGTCCCTGCCCTCATCTGATCTACATTATTGTGGTTTATGATGAGAAGTACACAATCCCCCTGCTGGATCCACGAGGTACTACTCTGTAAAACAAAACTGCAAGTTTTCTTTATTTTCCAGAGCTCCTCCTGCTGGAGGAACTGTGCTACTCTTTATATTAATCCTTTTGGATATTATATGTAATATACAAGACGTCTATAAGATATTTTCTGTGCTTCCTGTCTCATGAATCAGTTTTTAACACATTTGTTCTTGAGACCATGAATACAAATTAACTGGTGTAAAATCTGGTTTGATTGAATTCAGTAAAAAAAAAAAAAAAAAAAAGTAAGCAGTCAGTCCTTTGTCAGCAGATTGTTAGGGTTAGGTTACACATGGATGTGTATTGTTTTCTCTCTGCTGGGTGTTACGGCAGCTCAGTACATGTAGATTTAAGTCTTGGCCTGACAATTTCTATTTCTTCGTGTGCAACTTGTTCTTAAATGATTCTGTCTTTCTGCAGCCTCAAATGGATGAGAAGATCCAGCTGGGGCCCCGTGCTCAAGTCACGTGGGTGAAGGGCAGCAGTGGAGGAGCCAAAGCCAGTGACTCAGGTAAGAATACGGAGTATTAACTGACCCACCGTGACCACAGTGGGTCTACAAACATTGCATAAGCTAAAACCTTGTTCGTCAGCCAAGCGGATTTCATCAGATTCATCGTAGGAAAACCTCAAAAGTAACCCAGAGGTGAAATAGTTGAGTATATAATGAAAATTAGAAGAAGAAAGAGAAGCTGAACCGTTGCTGTGTGAAGAGGACTCCGTGATTATTTACTTTTTACTTTTTTGGTAATGTTTGTGTCTCATAATTTTTCTCAGAACTATCTCGGACAGCTGGCCTCAATCGTTACTCTGCGCTGCAGTCTACGCCGCCACCCCAGCCCTCCACCACTCCTCCACAGAACCCAGACTTTGACTCCAGGAGAACTTTGGGAAGGTAAAGGACAAACACCGGGGGTCATAGTCGGAGCGCCGCGTCTCTCTGTGCTTCTGATAGTTAATCTCTCAGATTCAGAAACAGCCTGATTAACTCATTTGTTTGCAGTCGTAGCAGCACCGGGAGGGAACGCAGCGAGAAGCCGCTGATCTCTGCACCTCCGTCGTCACGGCCCGGGCCGTTCATCAGGGGAGGCAGTTCCAAGGAGCTGCTGGAGAGTCAAACCCCCGATGAGCCTCGGAGAGAGCGAGAGCGAGAGGCGGCCGAGCCCCGGAGACCGAGTGTCACCGAGGACAAAACAGAGGCAGAGCGCAGCAGAGTCAGGGAGCCTGGTGAGGAACGCTGCACAACACTGGACATGCGTAACAATAATATTAATACGTTAACTGTTTCATGTGGCACCACTCTGATATTTGGTTTCTATCATTTGAAAACATGAACAGGTTTCATTTGGCATCAGAAATCCTGGATGTTTTCTAGTTACATACAATATAAAATGATCCAATATAAAATTAGAAATCACATTTGTGTTTTATTGGCAGTTTTCTCAAACCAGCAGCAGCTAGAAAGTCTTGTTTTTGCCCTAATATTCACCTTTATTTACAAAACAAAACAATTATATGTAATCATTCATAAATAACACGTTTATTTTTAAACCATTTAACATATTAACCTCTTTGCTGTTTAACAGTATTGTAAACACCTTTTAATGTTATCAGCAAACATAAATACCTTAATTTTAACTTCATGTACTTTATATCGTGTTTTTTCTTTATTACAACACATGTAAATCAATGTAGGAGCAGCAGCAGGTTAATATCCTGTTTGTAAACAAAAGGATCACCCCGGTAGCAAATATCAATACGCTGTACGTCGTCAATACCTCAGACTAAGCACTGTCGTCGCTGTTGTTCTCACAGTGAAATCTGAGCCAGTGGTCCAGACCCCGGACAGACCTGCTCTGTCTGAGGAGGAGATTGAGAGGAAGTCCAAGTCCATCATCGACGAGTTCCTGCACATAAATGACTACAAGGTACTGAGATTCACAGAAACCCACAGTGGATGCCTGTTTAGTGCTAATGAAACGTGCTTTGGTGATGCCGTGAAACCCCTTTTTTCTAAGTATATAGATTCCTGTCCTGCTCTTTAATGGATAGGTTCCCCTGCTTCACACAGTGTCGATCACATTTCTCTGTCGACTGCAGGAGGCCATCCAGTGCGTGGACGAGCTCGACTTGGGCTCTCAGCTCAACGTCTTTGTGCGCGTCGGGGTGGAGTCGACTCTGGAGCGCAGTCAGATAACTCGGGACCACATGGGCCAGCTCCTCTTCCAGCTGGTGCAGCAGGGACTCCTGCCCAAACCCCAGTTCTACAAAGGGTCAGTTTCGAGGCACACGGAGCGAATGACTCTCACTTTTTTATGCTTCCCTGCTTTTTGTTAATGTGACTGCGGTGTTTCCATAAGGTGGGGAATATTGATTGAACCCATTAGCTTGTTCTAAAATGTTCCTCTCTTAATGATTTTTGTTCTGACGGTAAATTGGAAGAAACTGTTATAGTTTATTGTTTATAGACTTGCAGTGAGATGTGGCTCTATCTCTCTTAGCATTGATCTTTGGTTGGGGTAGCGTAATGTGACCCCTCCTCACCTGCTTTGTTTAAGAACTTCTAAATACAAACAATATGGTTGTTTCAAAACTACTATATTTCCTAATGAAGTTGATAAACTATCTGATCGGACCCTCAACCTCCAGACGTGTAAAAAGTAAAAATGAATTTAGGATTTATTGTCTTTAATATTGACGTGTATTGCTGATATAATAGAGCAGCTCTGTGTTTTCAACATGTTTATACTGATATGTGTGAGTCTAGTTGTCACCTTCTAGTCCACTGGAACAATAATATAATTGGGTTATTCCTCTGATACTGCCTTAAAAAGCTGTCTCTACTTAAAGTTCAGGTTTTGGAATCACTATTGGGAAGGAAAGACTACTATTATCTCTAAATACAGTCATTTTAAGTTGTATCCTCTGCGTCTCTTTGTTCCCTCAGGTTTGCAGACACGCTGGAGCAAGCGGATGACATGGCCATCGACATTCCCCACATCTGGCTGTACCTGGCCGAGCTGCTCAGCCCTGTGCTGAGGGAAGGGGGCTTCTCTATGAGAGAGCTCTTTAGGTACGGAGACTGAGGCCATATACTAAAAACAAAGTAACATTTGGTGTGTTTACCCCGTTAAAATGTGTGTGTAATGTACGTGTGGTGTATCTTCTTCGATCACCTCAGTGTGCACAGGTTTGGAATACGTCTTCACTCTGCTTTGTTTACCACAATACAGCATTTTGTTACATGTCTGCTGTGCAAGTTTCAGTTCCTCCTGCATGAACTCATTTCTGAGATTAGTTTCAGACGTCACGTGGAGACATTTAAATAGTGAACAAACACTTGTGCCCACACAGGAAAAGTGTCTGTCTATCTGTTTGTTCTCATCTGACCAGATCTCAAGTAGCATACAAGTTATTTTAACTTCTCCGTTCTCCTGTATGAAGGAAACAGCTGCACAGATGTACATTTCATTTCTGTCGTCTGTTTGTTCACAGTGAATTAAGCAAACCTTTGCTTCCTGTGGGAAGAGCCGGGATCTTAATTTCTGAAATACTGCACATACTATGCAAACAAATGGTAAGCAACATTTTCATCTTCAGTTGTTTGAGTTTATTCTGCATACATTCATGTTACCTGCTCACATTATGAAGTCAGTATAATCAACAGCTCACTTAAATGTCTATTAAAGGTAAAGTTTGATTATATTGGTGGTGATATAAGAAGGAAATTCTCTTCTTTCACATTTGGTCCAATGACTTTTGAGTGTGAGATTAACAAAATAATCAACTTCCATTGTTGCACTAAAATAGATTTACTCCAATTATTAACAACATCAAACCAACAAGGTTATTTTTGATTTGTAGCTAATTTTGGCTCGTTAAAATCTTTCTCCCTGGAAACCCGACGGAAGAAATAGATCAAATATTTAAAAGAAGAGAGGTGTGACGCTGCTTCCTCTTGTCCCCACAGAGCCATAGGACTGTAGGTTCTTTGTGGAGGGAATCTGGCCTCAACTGGACCGACTTCCTACCAGCGGGAGAGGACGTCCAGGCTTTCATCTCACAACAGGTTATTAATAAAGATATATCAACATACTCTTCCTCTATCCTTCCTCCTCCTCTCTATGTCATTGCCTCATCATATCTCCGTCCTCTCGTCTCGATTAAAAAAAAACAACAGAAACTCCAGTTCGTTCTGTCGGACGGCTCCAGCCCTGAGGCGGCTCTGTCTAAAAAGATCTTGTCTCCCGAGGAGCTGAGCCAGCAGCTGGAGAGACTTCTCCTGGAGGACATGGCCAGCGACGAGCAGATCTTTGACTGGGTAGAGGTATGAGAAGTGACAACATGTATGCACACATCTGTCAGAAAGAGAAACCCATCACGCAGACTCTGCTAGCTAGTGGGCTGAAATTCATGCACCCTGTTAGGAGCAGAAATATTAAGTGTGACAAAGGAGCGGGTTAGTTACTGAATCAGAGAGGAGGGTGGACAGAAAGGTCTTATTAAGGTGCTGACGGACAGGAAGTGCGTGCCGAAGTGTCCACCGACGTCTGTGCTGGGGATTTTAATGGGCAGCTGCAGGATGCGAGGTGGCAGAAGGTTCGGGAAGATGAGAGCAGCCAAAAATACTACACCGTGTAAACTTCACCCGGTTGTCTCTTTGCTGCTCAGTGCCCCCCCCACTCCCACTCAAATACCCTGAACACAGACACGCTGCTTCCTTCACTTACCAACCCGTCTTCTTGCTTCCTTACTGAAGGTTGTTCTTGTGAGACTGACAAATCGTGTCTTTTGTCCTCTTTTTTTTTTTTTTTTTCCAGGCAAACCTAGATGAATCTCAGATGAGCTCGTCTCCCTTCCTGAGGGCTTTGATGACAGCTGTGTGTAAGGCAGCAGTGAAAGGTAAGCACTCCCACCACCTGGAGGACGGATTCCTCTATTCTCACTGGAATATTTACTCTCCGCCAAAACTCGGAGCGGGGAGGCTCAGCGTGCTCACTCTCGCCTTCTGCTCTACCGAACAGATGATAACACCAACTGTCGAGTGGACACGGCCATCATCCAGAGGAGATTGCCTGTATTACTCAAGTACCTTAACTCAGACACTGAGCGACAGCTGCAAGCACTTTATGCACTTCAGGCGCTGATCGTTGCCCTCGATCAGCCTCCAAGTAAGTGCTGCGTCATATTTTACTCCTCTTTCTTCTTTACATCTTTTTTTTTTTTTTTATTTGTCATCAGGGGATGTATACTTCCGGTTTTACACGGCTGTTGTTGACAGTGACTGGTGGACGTTAAGCGAGCTGCAGTCAGCCAACAGTGACGTAGGACTGAATAATCATATAAACAATAACGTTACTAGTTTTAGTGTTTCAGTATTTTATTTGGACCATACTGGAGAGATCTATTTGCAGAAATTCAATATTACATTTGTGTATAATCAACGTTAAATAAGAATCGTGTTTTCGTTACCTTAGAGTATTTTTCATCGACAGAGGGAGCGGGTCTTCTTCCACTTTGTTGAACCGCCATGTTTCTACAGTAGCCCAGAACAGACAAACCAAACGCTGGCTGTATATAGGGCCACACTGTTTCATGGCCACCGTAGATTCTGGAAGTGGGACGGTGAAGTGAGTGCTATTTAGTTGGTTGCAGTCTACAACCTCACTGCTGTAAATCGTACAAACTGGACCTTCACTGTGGAAACATGTCTAATTTACAAGTTAAATAACAAATTAAAATATGCTGGGGGAAAAAAAAAAAGATGTTTGCCTTCTTTAAGAGTCTCAGTAGTAGCCTCAGGAAATGTACTTCTTCTTAACCTCTCAGATCTGAAACCTTTGTCCACGCCTCCTCCAGAGGGCAGAGACCTGCTGGGATGCCTCCACTGCAGCTTTTTAATTAACTGGAATACAGATGGTTGAGGGTTACTGCGGCAGCACAGAAACAGATTCGTTCGTCAGTCACAGAGAAACCCAGTTTAGTTTGTTGATATGAGATGTTACCTGCCTGCAGCACGTTGCACACTTCACCTCACAGGAAAATCTGTTTCTGGCATTTTTCTCTATTTTTAACCATCATTTGCTCAAAAATATGATGCTATACGCTTTAAAAGCCTTCTCTCTCTATTCATGAATTTCCAGACCTTCTCCGGATGTTCTTTGACTGTCTGTATGACGAGGACGTCATCTCGGAGGACGCTTTCTACAAGTGGGAGACGAGCAAAGACCCTGCCGAGCAGCATGGTAAGGGTGTGGCCCTCAAGTCCGTCACGGCCTTCTTCACCTGGCTGCGGGAGGCGGAGGAGGAGTCGGAAGATAATTGACGAGGGAGGCACCGAGGGGACAGGACGTAGTAGAACTGCATCCTTACAGCAGAACAAACAAACAAACAAACATTCGAAATGGGTGTATGGGCAGGACGACATGTTTACGGCTGGAATTTTTTTCTGCGGTACGGTTCTGAAACATGCCGCCCTTTTGAGTTTGGATTCCAACGGCGGAAGCACTAAATACCTGTATTATACATAGAAAATATTTTTGTTTTAAATTTTAACTTACTTTTTCTTTTTGTTACTTTTTAAGAAGAGACTTAAAAGATACATAGGTTCTGGACTCTTTAATTTATTATTTTTTTAAGGACTGCAAATATAAAAGTTATTTAACATTTGCAGATGCTCATAAAATGAGAACATGACAACAGAAATAACAATATAATTAATTATAATAACAAAATAATAATTGTGAAATAAATAGCCTCCCTGGATTCCGTACTGTTTGGTTTAAAACAGGGTAAAACAAGATTATTTTGGGATGAAGGGGAAGCACAGATTTAAAATGTGGGGAGGAAAAAAAAAAGGAGTGGATGCACAGAAGCTATTAACGTTGTCCACGTATGACGTTTTGAGGTCAAAGGTTATCTCATAATAACCGGGGAAGTGTTTTCCCCAGCCTTGGCTTGCTCTACGTTGATATGTACATACGCCTCGTTGAGAGGTGAGAGGTATGCATTCAAGAAGCGATGCAAGTCAGTCCACAGAAACTGTCAAAACAAAACGCAGACGAACAAACCTGGAAAACATTCAAGTGAAAATGAGCAAAAAATGCAACTTTAAAAAGCAAATGGCCAGGGTCACTGATTATTGAAATGCTTGTAATACTTCAGACCTACAGAGCAGATTAAAGCTTGTAAATACATTAAAGACAAAAAAGGTATTTAAAAAAAAAATGCTCATGATTTGTTCTTTTTGATGGTGTGTGTGTGTGTGT